AACACTAGATGTTTCACCCTAAATCTCACAAACTTTGTTATATATTCTTATCAAATAAAAAAATCGATGCTTTCGTTAAGAAATATAAACTAACCGAATCATGATCGGAATAATCAAATGATACATATCCACGAATGAAAAACTAAAAAATCATTTAATGAATATATTCTAAATAAATTTGACGGTCAGTATTTTCAAACAATTGAAAGCTTTGGTCAAAATACGTAATCAATAATACCTCACTATATGTTATTGTCTCAAAATACTATTTGGTATGCACAACAATCTTCTATATCATTTCATTTCATAGTGAGTGATGAATCACATCTATAGAGAAAAAACGATTAAGAATTGTAATGGTCCAAAGAAATTAAATTTAATTCATGTCCATATTTTGCTCAGTTTTCAAGAATATATATATATTAACAAATATTTTTTTTATTCACAAGATCAAATCTAGAGTAAGTTATTTATTTTGATCATAATCTATATTTCATAGTCAAAATAGTTTTTTTTCTTCTTATAACTATGTATAGGTAATATATGAAAACATATGTTGAAATAAAAAATTAATTACTTTTAAGCTTAGCTAAACATTTAGTATATGGTGTCTCTAACTATTAAAATAAGTAATTTTTAGATCTGACTACAAGTTTTCTATAATAAAATTTACTTAATTACCGTTAGTAAATTTAGTCAAACATGCATTAAATAAATTGCCTAATTTTAAAATAAAATATTCAAAATTCATAAATATTGTGAAAATATTATTTAATAATTGTAACATCTTCAACAAGATTTGATTAGTTAAGCATTAAGCTTGGATTAGAATTCAAACTAGAGTTTGACTAACACAAATATGTGGGCCAAAATTGAACAAAATATTTTTAATTGGAAACAATAAATAACTCCTACAAGGAAAAATTACATTTCAAAGCTAACGAACTTATCAAATTATTTCAAAATTCATGTATTAACTCCACTTAATAATATATACAATATATAATTAGTTAGAATTAATTATCCCACCCAATTAATTAGCACCCCCACCTAGCAAATCAGTAATATATTAATTATTGATATCTTAGGATCCCACCTATGACCCTATCCCACGGACCCAACACATCCCACTCACGACCCTACTCCATTCCTACGAACCTATCCCCATCTCATCCCATCACCCCACTACACTACATTTTCTCCATCGGGATGGCCATCAGTTCTAGGGATCGCTCCGATGATCGCTCCGACAAACTGCTCCGATGATCAACACTCCGAAGACCACACCATACCCCACGAAACCACCCTACCCTACAGTAAAAAAAAATCTCCAAAAATTATGGTGGCAATAGTGGTGCATCGTAGATGGCTAGATTTGTGACTAACTGTATTATCTATGACTATAGCTGTATTATATGTCATTATTTGTAATCAAATTTATCTTTAGTATAATTAACTGTGATCAAATTTACCTTCACTGTGATCGTTTGTAATTAGGTCAATCTTAACTATGACGGTATATGATCAAATTACAACCAGTCATAATTAATATGGAATTGGTCACAACTAGTCACAATAAGCACATATTTGATCACAGAGGGTTATCACAAATAAATCTGCATACATCGAAGACCAACAACACAATCCATCACCAGTCACCACCAGCATCACCTCACACTACTACCAACTTCAACTCAAATTCACGACAATAAATACTACCTTCACTGGACTGTGTTACCAGTGACTAACTGTGACCAACTTTGTATTCATTGTGACTGTTTTTGACTATGTTAGTCTAAATTTGTGACTATATATAACCAAGTCACATACAATTTCAATTAACATAAATCTGGTCTCGAACATTCACAATGAAAATAGACAACAATCGATTTCCACTGCCACTACCAAATATGCACCACCAACACCTTCAACAAATCCCAACAACCACCACCATCATCGGCTTCACCGTACAACATGAAGATTCACCATTCATACCTGAAAGCAGCAGCTCACCTCCTTTGAAGCCTCCAAACGCCGACGAACACTCAGGCCTACTACTGCATATTGTCAGCCATCAACCACCTCTTCCTACCAAATTCCAGCAACTACAATTTAACCCTACTAGCATTAACTGCAGCAACTACCACCAACTGTAGTACCCTAACGCACAAAAAAAAAAAAGCCCAAAGTCTAGTAGATACAAATTGTCTTCTGTGCAACACCACCTTCTCCTGCAATGCCCATGCCAGTACAATCACATCAATCGACCATACTCATCAAGGGGCATCTATTTATGGTTTAATGTCATAAAAAAAACAACGCACAATCCAAATTTATAAACTTGTTCTTCATACAACCAAACATGCACATTTCAGTTTCAATTTTCGGCTCTGACAATAAGCCCCACGATCGCAAACCACCTTCTGTGGCATGCCCACACCATATCGCATCTATTGCTACCATGGGCTTCGCCTTGCTGCACCAATGCACATAATGGTTCGTCATTGCGTGCGACGGTTCTTCTTTGTGGAAAAAAGGGGCAAGTAAGTGGGGGCTCATCACATGTGAAGACGTCGGACAGAAAAAGTAGGTGGGTATGATCCACTACACATAGCGATGCCGAAAAGAAGGGGCGGATGGGTGGGATGAGAGAGAGAGAGAGAGAGAGAGAACGAAGAGAGAAGAAGAAAATGAAATTGATTTGGATAGAATGGGGTTGAGTGTCGGTGGGTGGGTATGTAGATTAGGTTTAATTGAACTTTTATTATTATAATTATTAAAACCTAATTATTACCCGCTATGTGAAATTTAAAATAATCCTCCTTATTTATGAAAAGTGTTCTTTAAATGTAGGTTATTAGGTAATTTTCCATTTTCAATTTTCCATAAGGGCCAGAGGGGTGGGGAGGGCTATAGCCCATGCCAGCCCCCCACTACCTCCGCCTCTATAAGACTACTCATCTTGCACCAATGCCACCACTGGTTGCAGCTTATGCAATTTTGCATTTTTCCCCTTAAAGCAACTCTAAGAAATGACTAATTTTACGTTTTAATTATTGATAATTGAATTCATATACCTAATAATTAATAGTATTTTCATTTAGAAAAAGTTTATTCGTGGCCCCTTAACTTATTTTTGAGAGTAATAAGTTGGTCCTCAACATTTGAAAGAGAGTTAGTTAGTCCTCAAATTTTTTTGCTATATTTGCACACCAATCCCAATATTTTAAACATTTAAACCATCTGGATTCCAATAATATATGCAGCTCATGAAAATATGCCCGAGTTTTTGACCATCAACTCAAGTTAGTACAAAATCAAAGTCCATAAACAGTTTGATATGTGAGGGTCATTTAACAATTTAATGAAAATTTTATTGCATGAAAGACTGATTCTACAACTATAATAAAAAGTATGATTAATTTGCTTATTTTTAAGATTAAGGACCAACTAGCTAGTCTAACAATAGGTTGAGGACAAATAGTGAAATATTGCTCTTTCTCATGTTTCTGACTTCCATATATACTTGCATGATGAACAGCTTTTAAAAAAAAAAAGAATAGAGTTTTCTAGTATTAGTGATATTAGAGCACTAGTCTACATTTTAGGTCACATTTTATGTATTCAATTAAATGAATCACTTGATATTATATTTAAGTAAATTTATTGTTTAGCTTCTGTTTGATATAGATTTAAATCAAAATAGATTTATTGTTTAGCTTCTATTTTTGATATAGATTTAAATCAAAATTTACTTAAATTTTGATAAAGATTAAGGAAATATGTGCTTGAAAAATTGTTAAATGTATTGTTAAAATTAATTGTTAACTTTGACTTGAGATTAAAATTTTGAAAACCAAATAGAAGCTTAATATCATGTAGTTATCATCTAGATTGGTCTTCACACCATATAATCCATAATTACATTTACTCATGTAAGGGCGACTATGATATTGTGGGAAGAATGACCATGATTTTGGGGAATGGCATCCAGTAATGATCCTCCACATGGCAAAGATTCTTATTTTGGTTGACGGGCCTTATTATTATTGGGTTTTTTAGGGGAAAGGAACTTGAACAATCTTATGGACGTCCACGAGATTACGTCCACGAGATTGTTCAATCAACACTACCCAATTTTTTATTGGGGTCGGATTCTTGAGAACATTCTGATAGATAGTTGTCTACTTCAGGACCAATAAAGTTAGGTAGGAGTCGATGAGGAAAAAATATATAATATGAGGCTTTATTTATTTATTGAACAGTGACATTTACAAACTCAAAGTTCATTACTTTTTCTTTGCAGCTGATTATTTATATTAGTTATACGATGATTGATGGGCACATGTCATTATAATATTAAGCTCGCTCACTCTTAGTAGCTAGACTTCAATATCAACTGTTGAGAAGCCATCTTCTAACAAGAATAGAAGTACTCGAGACAATTCCACACGTTCTACGACTTGTAGCTGAGTTGATCCAATTGTGCAAAAGGGCAGTGCCTACCAAGAATCACTAAAATGTCTACATGAGACCCTCGAGGCAGGGTTTCTACCCAATCCATTCAAAAAGAACCTCGCAAGAAAGCGAAATTACCATCATAAAACCTCAGGAATTCCTTAACATCATAAACAACAAATAAGAATGTAAAAGATAATATAGGTCAGTGTGACCTGCAACGCAGAAATAATATTTCAATTTTTCCCTGAGTAAAGGGAAAACTTACAGAATTCATACAGGATTTGAAATGCAAAAATCCTGTCCGTTTGGATTTTATGTTTCTTTTTCATTTTGAATGATGTTTCAACACTTGTGTCTGTGAAAAATTTCCAGTGCAAATACCTTGTACTTATAGCAGAATTCATAATATTTAGACTCACTTGAGCACCAGCTTGAGTCAACTATCAAATCCACACATTTAATGTGGCAAAGCTGGCTGGCCGAGCTATATTCTTGTAGATCCTTGTTGATTCAGACAACACCAAAATTTTCCAGATACGAAATCTAACATCCACATATTTGATTACACAAGTAATATACTTCAAAACATTCAAGTATGTTAAAATCAAAATCCCATGTTCGTATATCTAATTCTCCAAACAAAATCTCAAGAAATCACTAGTTGTATACAGTTTCTATAATTCCATCACTTACTTTTTTGCTTCACAAAATCAGTAACTGTAGAGATTATGAAAAATAAATCCCATTAGTAGAAGCTATATAGATTTGGAGTTGAAAAGGGCATAACCGGATATAAGAGAACTGGAGGCTAAGGCCACAAATGCAAGAAAAGACATAGATATAGATGCAGTTGCCATATTTGTGAACTTGTCCTTGCCCCAGTTGGATTGCCAGTCATCAATTCTAGTAGCAGCCGATGAGGAAGCCGATATCAATAAATAAGCAATTATCTGAGATTACGAACGACATCCAATCAGAATACGAATATATACACAACAATAACGATAAAATTAAGCATTATTCTCAATACTAAGTCATCTCTTTAACAACAAGCTTTTAGATTAGGTCATTCCATAATATCTTGTTAGGTGAACCTTTGAAGCAATGTTGTCATCAGTTGATGGTAACTGAGCAACCACATTGCTGCAATCAAATAATTGACATAAATGAAATAGATAAAAATAGGATGAAAAATCGATTAAATTTCAGAAAGTTATGGTTACTTCCTCAAAGGAAGATATTGAGTATGCATTTGGTACGCTAGACAGATAAACATATCCATCTGTCATCTACAGCATACCAAACATGAATGCTAAGAGAAGATTCTCTTTAGAGTTCCAACAAACTCAATCTACTTTCTAATAACTTGGGATTGTTACTCTTATAAATAAGAGTCTGTTTTGGTCTATTCAAAACATGTCCCAACTACTCAAATTCTTCGTTCCTTAATTTATTCTCAATCAAGTGTCATTTCCACCTATACGTATATTATCAGTTCTTATCTTATTATGACCATACATCCATCTTAGCATCGTCATATCTCTCAAGCGGTGCTTGATGAATAGGGTAAAACTGCCAGGGAATTTAAAGGGGGGACTAGGCATTTTTTCTTGGGAGATGGCAAAAATATAAAAGGCAACCATACAGGTGCTGCCAGCATAGCTCCAATAACTGTCCTGATTGTTATTCCCTGTACAAGGTGAATAACTCTTTCTTCTTTACTATGGTATGCTGACACAAATATTTTATTCTTTAATAGTTCCAAACTCAGTACTTTAAATAAAAGTCTTTCATAGCATATTTATTTTTCTATTAGCACCCCACTTGCTAATGGATGACAGGCTCATAAAGTAGAGAATCCAGCACAAGAGGGGAGAAAAAGAGAAGAATATTGACAAAAAGTAGTTCCACTAGAGTGGTCCCTGGCCAGAGCTGAGTCCTCGTGTACTAACGCAAAAAGATAAAATCCAATTGGAACTAGTGCCTTAATTTCAACGCAGTCTCACAATCCATATCTATTTTAAACAAATTATAAGAAGTATGTGTTGAGACCCTTTAATATCTCTCCGTCTAGTAAAGATAAACTTACTTTTTTTTTTCGTCTATTTTAAATTATAAAAATAGCTTTCCTCATTGAGAGTATAGTTGATTTTTTAATTTTCTAATATATCTCTATTTAATATGAATTGTTATCAATAAATATAAATTATTCCTATTTATACCATTATTTAATATAAGGGTATATTAAGAAAAGTGTAAGAAAAATTTATATTTTCAGCCATATTAACTTTTTAATGTAAACAGAAGGTCTTTAAATTAAAATATGTAAGCTCTTCAACTTTACCATGAAAAAAGAACTCTCTGAAAAAAAATTTTATATACATGAAAATATAGAAAAAGTAATTAATTGATTATCTAACGACGTAACTATAAATGCGGTTGTAACCCCAGCACTAGTAGATATTACAGACAATCTTCGCTACAAATATCGTGTCTACTTTTCGAGAACAAAAAGGCTTCTTGTTACTTTCTTTTATAACTAATGGCTTGATCATTGCAAATACATGAATTTGCTCAAATATAGATTAGGTGATAAAAAAATCATTACCAAAAAGTTGTACCCTACTAATAAGATTTTATGTGTGAGTTATTATTGGTTAAGGAAAGAAAGAAAAGGTTGATTCCACCAAAAAGGAAATTGTGCTTCGTAAAGTTCAAAAAAGGTTAGTTAGATAGTTCCAATGGTAAGAATATTATATTCACATAACACAATAATATGAAGGTTAGATTGCATCCCCTATCAAGTTTTAAAGTAGAAAACTTTATCTATTTTTCTACAATTTTTTTAGACATGATCTCTCATGTGTAGTGTTAGTATTGTTCTTCGTTAGACATAATCTAAATTTTTTGTAAGGATTCGAATTTAGAACTTCTGCATCCTCGACTATCTCGCTCGAAAAAGCCTGATAATGGGCCAGTCTGGCTCCTAACAAGTCGGGCCGTGGACTATACCCCTTGAAGATAAATTGTGTCGAACTTGGTACTATGCCTACTACAACTTACTGATCGAGAAAGATCACAGAAAACTATGGTAGGCCAGGCTAAAAGAGACTTGTAAGCAAGCTAATTCGTTGCGAAGTTCAACTTATTCCATCTAAAAGTTTGTACTATCTCATGTGCAACAATAAAAATTTTTAAAACTTGCCTGATCGACGGTGAAATCAAAGTAACGCCGGAGCCCTGGTCGATGCCGGCCAATATATTTGCCTGTGACTAGATTGTAAGACAGATCTAGAGCCTGTACTCCCGAGTACACAAATCCTATCACGTTGATTGACATGCAGTACCTGTCATGCCATCATCCTCGTTTTCATACTTAAAAACATTATGGTGCACAAAAATTTGACTTTTAATCGTGTTTAAAAGTCGTTTTTTTACTTTTTTTTCTTGCTTTCCAGTCCATACAAAAATAAAAAGTAGCTAAAAAATTGAAAATCTCATATCATGTCAATCATGATCAAACTGACCTGAATTCCTTGTAACGTTCAAATGAATCAAGAGCCCAACCCTGATGTCTATCAGCTGCCATTACTGAAAGTGAAACCAAGCTGAACAAAAATCCAAGAACCCTAAATCCTAAAGCAGCTTTTCTCACCATCTTCTCTCTCTTGGCGGTTCTTAATATCGACAGGGACGGAATCACCCTCCTCCGCCCAGTTTCACTCCCGCTGCCGCCGTGACCATAACTTTTTTCTGTTTCCACGACAATTCTGGTTTTATCCGTCTTTGTTATTGCCGCCATCGGTTCCTCACGGACATCCTTGTTAAACACTTCCTTCACCGACGCCGGAGGAGGCTTCTCAGGTGAGTATTCCGGAGCTTTTTCTTTTCCAGGGGAAGACACATGAGTGAGTGAAATATTATAAGAGGAAATTGATGACCGAACCGGTGACTCTTCTGGAGACTTAATCGTCGGTGAGAGTGATATATGTTCGCTGCTACAGCTTTTGGAGTGATTTGGTGACGGTGAAACAGGAATAATAGTGGGTTTTGAATCCACCGGTGACTGTGTTACATCTCCTCTGCTACTGCTTTCGGTTTGAGCTGGTGAAGAGTCTACTACTATAAGTTCATGTGGTGTAGGTACATCAGTGGATTGATAGTACTCCGAAGACTGGATCGCCGGTGACGGCGATGGTGATATGGGTTCTCTGCCACTGCTTTGTGGGTGTTGTTTATTTTGGTTTTCCATATTGATTAATGAAAATGGATTCCAAATGTTGAAGAAATAGAATGGTTAAGGTGGAATCTGGTCCAGAGCTAGGTAGTGAGAAACAGACAACTTTATTTAGACAGAAAACGATGGTTTGGGCGGTTTGTTTTGGCTCATCATAATAAACAGTTTGGAAAAAAATAAAAAATTGAAAACCTTAGCCGCACCTATGCCTCTATTTGAGTAATATTATTGTTTATAATTTTATCGGCCAGGTCCTGAAATGTTGAATAATCATAATCTGACTTTGGTAACAATTAAAATTTAAATTTAAATTAAACTCAACAATTAATTTTGACCATATACATTACGAGCCCACAACTTTACAATCACGTATTTCATTAATTTCTATCAAAATCTACTAAAAATTTAATTTTTAATCCCTACCAAATAAGGGTTTAGAGTCTGAATAATTTAGTTAAAAAATAATAAAATTTTTAAATTAATATATAAAATTCATAATTTTTATCAATTTTTTTATTAATATACCATCCATTTTTGTTAAAATTTGTAAACATATTTGATTTTTAATAAAATTGAACAGAGTTTAATAGCGATCCAAAGTGATAGAGGAGTTTCATCCTCCGCATTCAATGACGAATTAAAATCAAATTTTAATTTACATTATTATTCTTACCAATCATGGTATATTGACCGTTGTCAAATAAAATTTACATTCCTCAAGGTTTCTGATAATTTAAGAGGCATTCTTTCACTTTTTAAAAATTATATAAATACTTCTTATTTTAAATTTTAAATAATGCATACTTCTCCTAATGTTTATGATAATTTTAGAGAAAGGACCGATCTTTAGAATTTTGAGACCCTAAAAAAATTATTACGAGACCCTTAAATTTTGTACATATTCGATCACCCTCAACAATTGGCTTTCTTTTCTACTGCATGAATAAATGCCCTTCTTTTTAGCATTGTAAAAGAAAAGATTGCATTTTCATTAAGCTAAATAGTTGGTCCATAGCCATAATGAGTTTTCTCAATCCCAAATTCTTCCAAAAATTTTATAGTAATCGATCTCTCTTCATTTGTACTACTTCTACTTTACCGTCTTTATTATAAGATGAATGTATGCATAAGAATAAGAATATTAGTCCAACAAACAAAAATTAAAATATCGTTTTCCTTTGCTAAATAGTAAGAAATATGTTGAAGGGATAAAATTATCATAGATAATTTCATTAGAGATTTTACATTTCATTTTAGCCTTTAGGTGCACGGCACAATAATAAATTTGCTTCAACTTTGTAAATCCAAAGATCGTGGATTGAGTAAGAAATTTATAAAAAATTAAGACAAGCCGCACAGAAAGATTCTAAAATTTCCAATATTGCAAACCCTATTTGTACGTAATTAGTAAAGCCAAAATGGATTTGCCTTCAGACTTGAGCCAACATTGTAAGAGCAAATAATGCAATTTTACATGATTCAAAATTACAAAGTGAAATAGAAAATGGACCAAAAGTATATTGTAGACGGTAAGCTTCTTACTTATATAAGTATAGCACCCTATATGAATGAAGCAATTTAGCATCATAAACACAATAGTTTCACTAAATATGTCACGCTACATGCTTTTGGGCGGAGTCAAATAATATTGAGGTCACCATACTTTAACAAATCTTTACCTTGACACGAATTTCAATACAAGTAATAAAACTTCACTATTCAACAAAACTATCCGCCTCTTCCACAAAAGCCTCTAGGGGCAAATTCAACAACAAATTCCAACCAAATCCAAACAATGCTCGAACTTGGCTACAATAACTTGATCATCATATCAGTGGGACTATATTAAGTACTAACTTGACTAACAACAATATCGCCATGAGCAATAACATCACGCACAAAATAATACCACATATCAATATGTTTCGTCCTCTCATAAAACATTTGATCCTTTGAGAGAAAAATAGCACTCTAACTATCTTAAAAACTCAGGTGATCTGCGATCTTCACTGAGTTCACCAAATAGTCCCTTTAACTAAATATCTTTCTTACAAGCCTCTGTAATAGCCTTGTACGCAGTCTCAGTAGTAGACACTGCAACTGTAATCTGTAAATATAATAGTTCTTCAAATGATAGCAAAACCACCAATAGTAAAAACATACCATGTAAGATATCTTCTCTTATCAAGATTTCCAGTAAAATCAAAATCAACATAACTAATAACTTAACATGTAGTTCTCCCAAAATGCAATCAAACATTAGTAGAGCCACACAGATATTTGAAAATCCACTAAACTACTTTCCCATATTCTTTACCAAGATTTGCCATGTATCAACTGACTGTAGTAATGTCTATGATAAATATGGACTTGAACAAATCACAGCATACATGAGAGATCCTACGACACTAGAATATGAAAGCCGTGACATATAATGAACATTATCTGATTGCGAAGATAAAACATATGAAAGTACTAATTAGCTTGGCCTTCCGTAATTGAACATGCAGAGAACTTTCTTAATGTAATCAATCTAACTTAGGTGTAATTTTCCTGTCTCTTTTTCTCTTAAAAACTACATTCCAAATTGCTTCATTGCTGTCCCTAGATCTTTCATCTCAAATTCTTTACTGAGATATACTTTCAAATCTCTTATCTTTCTCTTATCCTTGGTTGCTATCAATGTAGAAGAGTAGGTATACAAATGACCCATCATCATACCTTTTAAAGTAGACACAACCGTCATAATTGCATTTTTTTTTGAAGTCATGAGTAGTCATTAATGAGTCAAACTTATTATATCATTGTCTAGAGTACTGTTTCAGGCCTAAAATTCTCTGTCTACTGCATGTAGATGTCCTCATCAAGTTTTCCATATAAAAATGTTGTCTTCACTTCCAACTGCTCAAAATCATAACTAGCCACAATACCAAGCAAACTCAAATCGAACTATGTTTTATAACTTGAGAAAACATATTTATGAAGTCTACACCTGGAATCTAACTATATCCTTTGCAAACTAGTCTTTCCTTATACTTCAATTTCTAATGTAACTTCTTTCCTTTTGAGCACCCCATTTGCAAAGAACAACTTTCTTATCCTTAGGCAATATCACTAAATCCCATGTGCTATTTTTACGAAGTGATTCTATCTCTTTCTACATTGCAATCATCTATCTACCAGATTCGTCACAACTAACTACTTCTGAGTAGGTAAAAGTTTCTTCATTGAAATCAATACATTCTGCCTCATTCAAGGTACAGACAACCAAATCAGCATTCACATACTTCTTTGGAGGCCTAATATTTTTTGGGCCCGTCTTTAGCAATTTAACACTGTGGTGGGGCTAGTTTTGGTGACAAATCGTAATCCTCTTTAATTCTAAGCTAGACTGATACTCTAATATAGACCATGAACCATTCTCAAACTCTATATGTATGTTTAATTTCAACTAATTTATATCACAACAATATCTAGAATGTAAGCCATAAAGCATTGCACTTTCATCAAATATAACAGCTATACTGATTATGATTTTACTTGTTTCTCGACATCATAGCTTTCATATATTAACACCAAACTTATAGCTAAGAAATATGCACTTTCTAGAACTAGGTCCCAAATTTTCATTATGAACATGAGCGTAAGAAGAACGTACAAATTCTTCAAATCAAAGTAACTAGGAGAAGTATCAGACCATACCTCTTTTGTAGTTTGTTTATTAATAGCAATTGAGGGTGAGCGGTTAATTAGCACACAACATACTTTCTTTATAAAAGTCATATTCATCAATTCTGCCACACGGTTTTGTCACAAAGTCTTACAAACTGTTAAGTGCTTTAAAATTTCTCCTGGCTTGCAAATAACGTTAAACTCATTAGAACAAAACTCAAAATCCTTATTAGTCCGAGACATTTTGCCTACTTTCTTGTCTACTTCTCAATCAAGATCTTCCACCCTTAAATGTAGTAAACACATCACTCTTCTAGCTTTAATAAAAAACACCTAAATATTTTTGAAAAATCATTTATAATAGTTAGCATATTGTAAGCATATCCTTTCAAAGATACCCTAGATAATCCACAAAAATTAGAATGTATGTCATCAAGTGTTCCCTTCGTATTCTGAATGCCTTAGGTGAATTTGACTATCTTCTGCTTCCAAAAAACGCAGTGCTTACGGAACTTTAATTTTCTAGTACTCTGATAAGTGTGATTTTACACATTTATTAGGCACTTTAATGAGCTATTTATTGAAGAAATTGAGCAAATTCCTATTCATAATTGTGTAATTATGGTGTTTGTAGGCCAAAATCCCAAATTGAAGGAGAAAATGGCTAAAGGAAGGAAAAGAGGACCACAAAAAATAAATTTGGGGACCAAAGTGTACAAGTGCTAAAAGTTTAAGGACCAAATGTTGCAAATTTTGGAGTTCATGATTGAAAGAAAAAACAAATTTTCGGGACTAAAATGTACAAGTTCAAAGTTGAGGGATCTAGCGTGCAAATATGGGGAGGACTTGAGCTGCAAATACTAAAAATGGGATGCAATACTATAGCGGCGCCGCAACTCCACTGTAGCAGTGTCCCGGCTCCACACCTCTGTCCCTTGTAGCACTGCAGTGCTATTTTCAAAGCGCTAGGGTTGTGGTTAAGGACCTGTTTGCCTATATTTTTGTAGTTAGGGATCATTTTGTAATTACAAAACACGGTTTTTGAGTCATTTAAAAGGCAAAATTGATTAATTTTTCTCTCATTCTTCTTTCACAAAAAAAAAAAAAAAAAAAAGGACCCTAGTTTAGAGAGAAAAGGGGGCAAGCAAAAAAGAGAAGAAATGGTACACCAAATGGAGAAAATCTTGGAGAAATCAAAACCAAAATCAAGCAAGTTTCAAAGATCCGACCAAGGGACGGATTTATTTATTTGTCTTATATTTTACATTATATTCTTCTCAACTTTTGTGATGTATTCCTTTAATCATTTCATTTTATGCCCTACAAATACAATGGGCTAAACATTTTGGGGTTGGGATTCATGATTCCACTTGGCTGTCACTAAATTAATTCCTCAAAACAATTCAATCGAACATTGCTCACTTTTCTCGTCAA